TATGTTAATTTAAAAAAAAAAAAGAGGGGAGAGAGCTGGAGGCTGAAGACGTCCCGGAGTCCAGCTCCTCCCCGGCACCTTCCATCATGGGGTTCCATCAACTCCCTTCTCGTGCTGAAGCCGGTTGGTGTGACATTTCTGTCCCTTGCAGCCCAGAGCCCTAAGCTCGGGCCCTTCTGAGCCACGGTGCCCGCCATCCAGTCTCCAGGTGGTCGACCTGCCCTGCTTCTCCTGTAGCCACCCCAGGACTCCCCCCTCCTGCCGCAGGATGATTTGGGCGGCACTGTTGGAAACAGGAAGCAACCTTCCCCTACTCAAAAATGGGTGAGTTCTGGGCACATACCCCCTTCCATTTGTTCCTTTATGGGAAATCCTGAGCCTCAGCCCCAGAGGCACCAGATCCCCAACCCAGCCCAGTTCAGCCTGGACCGGGGCCTGAACCAGGCCAACTGCAGCCACAGGAGCATCCAAGCCCCTGGGTGCTGATCTCCCCATCCAGCACCTTCTCCAGCCCCCAGCCTGCTTGACAAGGTGCTCGCTCCCTGCCTGGCTCCCACCGGCCCCTCTATGGGGGTCCAACCCTGCTCCCTCTGTTTGGGGCTCCTGGGTCCAGCTCCAGGCTCCTCTAGGACCAGGTCCACCCTCTGCCAAACTGTGAGCCTGCCGACCCTCTGGGAGGAGGACAGGGGAAGAGACTGGCTGCTGGGATCTGCTGAGGGCCTACTGTGCGCCCAAGGCTTGACATTCGTTGTCACAGGCGGCAAAGCTAAGTTGGTGCTGCTCTTAAGAAAGGCCTGAGCTTTGGGTCAACCTAGGAATTGGTGCCGGCGCTGACTCGGACAATCCCATCACCTGTAAAATGGGTCACACTAACACTGTCACACAGGGTCACCGGAAGCCCTCAGTGCCACTGTCCGAGCAGTTTCTCTGTTCTCCCTGCAAGTAAGAATGTCGCTGCCTCACGGCGACAGGGAGGTCAGCCGCCCTGCACAGGACCCAGTAGGGCCAGCCTCCAGGTCCCCACCCCACCCTGGGCAAGTGAGAGGGACGCTCGGTCCCCACCCATCCCAGCTCAGGTCTCTTCACAGCCCATCTCGCGCTCCCTCGAGGGTTTGTGGGGAAAAACATGAGTCCCATTTCTAATCAGAGTCCGTTCTACTTTCTGATCACATCACCTTGTTTCCTAAAACCCTTGCATGGCTTCACACCACCCTGCAGGGGGAGTCCCGCCTCCTCTGGTCCTGGGCCTGTGCCTTGGTCCCTGTGACAGGCAGCTGCATTCAGGATCTAGGGGGGGCCGCACACCTTCCTCCTCAGGGCCCTTGCACACGCCACTTGCTCTATTTGACACACTCATCCCCAGCCTCCCTTTACCTTCCTAACTCCCAAAGTGCCTTCAGATTCGGGCGTAGGTCCACCGCCTCCAGGAAGCCTCCTCCACCTGCCCACAGCAGGGGAAGACCTCCTGTGGCACACCCTGAGTCCTCCACCCGCTACCCCAGCCAGACTCCCCATGAGGCTTTCTTTCCAATGTCTGTCTGCCCCTCTAGGCTGGGAGCACCACAAGGCCAGAAACCACTGGGCATTTTTCTATTTTATCCCGAATGCCTTGTGCATTCTTTGGCCTCTGGTGATGCTCAGTGAATGGGGAAGGAAGGAGGGAAGGAAGGAAAGAATGGGGGGAGAGGGTGGGGCTAAGACAGGACCAGCTTGACTTCACGGTCCCCTGCCCCTCCCTCCCAGGCATGTGCCCTTTCACAGCCCCTCCTCCCTCCACACACTGCTCACCTTCCAGACTTGCCCTGCAGGGGCAGCCCTCCGGCCACCTGCTAAGCCACCTCTGCGGTCTCCTCCAGGGAGCCCTATGGGGCTGGCCATGCCAAGCCCTCTGTCTGGGTGCCGTCAGCATGAACGCTAGTGAGGAGGGTGCTGTTGCCCCTTTTACTGTCAAGGAAGCTGAGGTCAGAGTGCAAAGGAGTCTGTCCAAGGCAAGGGGGCTGGGGGGTGGGGTCTCGCACCAGGACTGTGGACCCCAAACTGCTAACCTGTCCACTGTCACCTCTCCGTGGGATAGTTCCTGGGAGCTTGGAGTCTGACGCTTGGTCTCTGCCAGGCCAGACACCCCCGGGCACACCTTTCTCTCGTCCGACTTCAAGGAAGTAGTGACAGCTCTCAGCTCTGAGTGACACCATGTTTCCCCGGGGAGATTCTTGTTGACTGCTCATTTCTGGATCATCTCTCCATTTAGCAGATGAGGAACTAAGGCCCACAGGGAGAAGGGACGGTTCGTCCAAGCTCACGCCACCCTCCGAGCCTCGTCTCCCTGAGCCGTGACCCCCTCCCCCCACATACTGGCACTGCTCCAGGCAGAGAAAAGGCTGTCCCTGACTTTGCCTCCTGGTGGAGCTGGGAGATCAGTACCCATGACCGTGACGCAGATGGGCCAGAGCCATGGTGCACACTCTGGACTCCAGCAGGTAACAGGTGCCCCAGGTGGCACAGCCCCCGGAAACCAGGTGACTGCAGGGTCTCAAGGGACACTGGCCCCAGACGGGAACGAGGGAGGTTCTCAGGTGCTGACAGGTTTAAATGCGTCCCTGAGTCTGGGAAACCACTCGCCAGATGGCAACAATGATGCCAACTCCACTCTGGGTGCAAAATGTGGGCGGGCCCTGAGCTGAGTGCCCCCCACCCATCTCACTGACACCCCGTAAGATCTTCGAGGTGGTGCCAGTATCCTTTGCCTTGGATGTAGGTGGGGAACTTGGAGGGAGAAAGGGTTCCCGCCGAGTTACCAGGCAACTAAGGCACAGCACTAGAACCCAGATGGTCCCGCTTCAATGCAAGGGTTTCCTGGGTGTCCCGAATGGCCAAGGCAGGGAGTGTAGCCAGAGAGGGACGCCAGAGAACGACCCGCTGCAATGGATTAAAACTGGCTGCAAATTCTTCATTGCTCTCTCCCCGTGAACTGGAGTGTACCTCCCCACCCCTTGTGTTCAGCCTGGCCTAAAACTGCTTTGATCAAGAAATCAGCAAAAGGATCAAAAAATGCAGCAAAAGTCATGAAGTGCCAACATGGGGCTCCAGACCTAAAAAGCTTTCCACAGCCCTGGGCTGCCAGAGAAGAAGTTGCGTTTCCCCCGCCAGAGAGCCCCCAGGGACATACATGGAGAGAGAAGTGGAGAGAAGCCCAGCCTTGCACCTCCATCTCCCCAGGTAGCAGTCATGCCAGTGGGCCCTGGCACAGGGGAGTGAGCCATGCTGGAGGCTCCGGCTGGGTCGAGACCACCACGAGTGTGACCCCAGCTGACTCCACATGGAGCAGAAGAACCACCAACGGAGCCCAGCCAACTGGCAGAATCATGCCGGGCACAGGTGTTTTTTGGCGGCGGGGGGGACGTTTTGAGCCACTAAGTTTTAGCAGGTGCAGGGATATAATTCTGTCTGCTGGAACTGTCTCTAAGGAAGACCTCTCAGGATGGTCTGAGTCTCTCATAAAAGCCTTTTAGAGGCTCCCAAGTGTGAATCTAGTAGTAACCCTAAAAATGCTCCATGACACAGAAATGGGTTCAGCAAATCACCCCAGCTCCCACTGTGGGACACCAGGGACTGAGACTGTAGGGAGCACCGCTCCAGAGGGGCCTGGGTGAGGCCGGCAGACCCCAGGTAGTGCTGGGGGAGATATGGGGTTCGGGAAACTTTCTCATGTGCCATCCCTGAGGCAGAGGGGTGCCGCCATTGGTGCCGGGGATGGAGGCAAAGCTGCTAACACCCAAGGAGGGAACAGAGAGGACACCAACACGGGCATGGGGTGTGGGGCCGGTGGGGGCGCCCGGGGCCAGCCTCAGCGCAGCTGGGACCCTCCCAGCGTCTCTAACTCACATACACACACTCAGCCCACCGGCTCCTGCTACAACCTAAACACTCTCTCATTTTCCCCAGCTGGGGTGAGGGTGACAGGTGCTCAACTGGACTGTAAGTCCCTTAAGGGCAGGGACTGCATCTGTCTCGAAGGCCACCATCTCCCCTCTGCCTGCCATGGGCCCATATTCTGTGTTTGTCTTCTGCATGCACACATGAATGAATGAATGAAGCAGGAATGAATGAATGTATGAATGAATGCATGAATCGGCCTGTCTGGTGTCCTGGCTCTTCTTCTTCTTTGATGTCTTGCAGCCCTAGATTCAAGTCCTTGCTCTCCAACTGATGCTCCACTGAGCAAGTCATCTGAACACCCAAACACAGCTTCCCCATGCGTATAATGAGGGCGAGTCCAGTCCGCCGCAGGCAGGGCCGCAGGAGAAAGAAACGAGCGCCTGTAAAGGCAGGGCAACCCCACGCCGGCTCTGGGGTAGCGGCCTTCACCCCTGTTCCCCCCACAGTTGCCAGCCTGCAAGGGGCCCCCTGCACCCGCCCCCCCCCAGTCCTTCATCCCGCTCCCCAAATGACCACGCTACCTCCGGCCCCATTCAGGGCTTAAGTTAAATCATATTTCATTGTTTTTCAGAAGGCAATAGAAAAAAAAACAGGAAAGAGATTCACAGCACTCGCAGTCAAGAAAGGGTTAACTAAAAAAAATAGGAATATATTATGTTTCGATTGAAGGAATGCAAACACAGTCCCTCTCACACTCACCTTTGTGTTCTCACTCACATACACGCATCCCTGCTCCAGACACACACCCACCCTCAGGCACACAGGCACACACAAGCACAGTCCCCAACACGGCCACGCTCCTAACACACGTACGCATGCCCATGCACTCACACACACGCATGTGCTCCCAGACACGTCCACGCACCTGGCACACTCACACATGCCCAGCAGGGCTGGCAGGACGGTGGGGGGAGGCCTGGTGCCCTCAGGGCATGCCCCTCCAAACCCCCCTCGCCGAAATGGCAAAGCTAGACTACACTTGGGGCTCTAGGGGACACACGCAGGACTCAGGGAGCTACGTGGGCAGTGGGGAGACCGAGAGGCTGCGGCGGGGACAGGCAGCCTCACACGACTCTGTTCTCCAGGACGGCCAGCCGCTGGCTCACAGCTTCCAGTGGACTCGGGGTTAAGGACAGGCCCAGGCTGACCAGAGCAGGGCAGTGATGGCTATGGCACCTGCCCTCGGGACCCCACCTCCTGTGTCCCCCACCTCCCGAGAGCCCCTCTTCCAGGGAGTTCTCTCACCCCATCTACAACATGTCACTGCCCTCAGAACAGTGCCTTCCCCAAAACCCAGTAGTTACTGTGCGCCCTGAAGGCCCAGCCCTGCCGGGGGGCAGCTTCAGGCCTGCTGGGTCCCCCACCTGGATTCCCACCTTATCCTGACAGAGCCAGGGGGCCTGTTCCGGGCCCAGCCTCTTCTGAGTGGAGACTGGGATTTGTCATGTCACTGAAAGCCTGAGAAATGGGGAGGCCACACGCTCCATGTTTTCCTGAGCACAGCTAGGACTCTGGATGGGTGTCCAAGTCTCTAGGTCTAGGCTTCTGCCTCAGTTTCTCTGTTTACTCTCTAGGAGCCTCTGCTTTTGATAGGATCAGTACCAAAGGCCATGCCAGACTCTGTCCAGAGTCCAGCCTGTCTCCAGCAGGAGGCAGAAGCCCCACCTGCGACCCCACACACAAGGGTGTGCCTCCCTCTCCCTGCCCTTCACCCTGCCACTGCCCCCATCCCCCCCCATCCCTCAGTGGCCTCTGGGAAAGGATATGCTTCCTGGTCAGGGCTTGCAGCAGCCCCTCCACTCTGGTCTGGAATTTCACAATGGACTCGCAGGCACACGGGTCTTCCTCTGGAGTGGACAGGAAGCAGGGAAAGAGAAAGGGGAAGGTGAGTGGTGGTGTGGCAGGGGGACGAGGAGAGCTCACAGCCCAGGACCAGGACTGGGGAGTCTTGGGGAAGTGCGGGGGGCCTGTGAGAACTGAGAAGACAGAGACACGTGTAGGGTTCTGAAGCAGAACTCCCAAGAGCGACAGAGGGGGAGACCCCGAATGTCTTCCCAACCCCACAGAGCCCCAATAAAACCTCCAATACCAGCATCTCCACGCTGGTCACCTACTACATGCAGGACATGGTTGCTAGGGACCTCGAGGTCATCTTGCCAGCTTCACCCAACACTTTGGGTTGGAAATCATTAATCATCCCATGTTACAAATAAAGGACCCGAGAAATGAAACCACTGGATCATGGCCCACAGGCAGTGAGTGTCACAGCAAACACACAAACCCAGGCACCTCTGGCTCTGTAATCCATACTCACTAGCCCTGAGAGGATGGGGGAGGTAGCAGGGTTCAAATCCTGGCACCTCCGGTTCTTAACGATCACTCCACCCCTCTGGGCTTGGTTTTCCTGTCTATAAAATGGGAATAATATTTCTACTAATTAGGATTGAATGATTTAATATTTGGAGAGTACTAGCAACAGTGCCATTCATGTAAGAAGCATATGTTTGCTAGTTGCAAAAGTGAGAGCGGTCAGCCCTCCTCCTGCTTCTGCCAATTCTTGCTGCCACCCCAGCTCCTGCTTCTCCCCACCCCCATCCAGTTCCAGGATGGTTCCACAGTCTCCCCCCAGGGGCCCCCCCGCCCCTCCCATCAGTGCCCTCTCTGGCCTCACTAACCCACGCAGATCTTCTTCTGCAACCTCTTGCCAATCTGGTTGATGGTCTTGAAGTCAGCCGTGTAGAAGTAGTGCTCTGCCACGGGCTCTGAGGCGATTTCCCTCAGCTCGTCCTCCACGGCATTGCCCACACCCACAGCAAACATCTTAAAGCCTGCCAAGAGGAACAAGATGAGTGACAGTGGCCATGGGGACAGGCAGCAGCATCTCAGCCTCCTGAGAAATGCCCAGGTGATCAACACCAGACACCTCCTGCTGGCAGCTGCTGGAATTACAAGCACAGTGCCTAAGACAAAGACTTCCAGCATTCCCTGAAGATTCTCCCATATGTCAGACCTGCACTGATTCCTTGGACCGGGAGCTCTGTAATCTCATATACCCCCAGAACCATCCGTCTGGTGGCTATTATTATCCTCCTTAAGTAGGTGATAAAACAGAGACTCCGGCTTGTCCCAAAGTGGGGCTGCCTTCCAACAGTTAGTGTGTTCTGGAGAACATTCAACTGAAAAATTTCCAAGCCCCACCTACAAAAGGACCCTTGAAACAAACTTCTTACTTTTCTGGGGACTCTGTTGTCTCATCACAGGTAAGAAAGAGTTGAACAGACCCAGCACTCCTCATTTACCTTGCACCTGGGGTTAGGGTTTAGACTCAAGACAGGCAACTTCCAGTCAAGCTGTTCCCTAGGTACCCCTGGCCATCAGTGGTGTTCTGGGTCCAGGCACCACCTACCAAGGTCCTTGGCTTTCCTGGCAGCATCGTTAATGTAGTCTTGGCTCCGGCCATCGGTGAAGACAATGCCCACCTTCTGGGCCCCAGGCCTAGCCCCGCTGGACACAGTGAAGGAATTGTCAATGAGATACTTGAGGGCAGCCCCAGTCATGGTGCCCTTCTCCATGTAAGACATGTTCCGCACCGCCGCCTTAATGTCCTTCTTCGTGTGGAAGCGGCCCAGTGGGAACTCCTGCCGCACAGAGCTCGAGTATTGCACGAGCCCCACTTGGGCCAGTTTGTCTGACACGTCCAGCGTGTCCACAATCTGATTGATGAACTTCTTCACTAGTTCAAAGTTCTCTGGACGCACACTTTTGGATCCATCGATGAGGAAGACCAAGTCAGTTGCCGAACTGCCACCACCACCACTGCAGACTGGGAAGGGTGGGAAGGCGAGGAGATGAAGCTTAGGAGCCCGTCGTTCATCCTGACCACAAGTCAGGAACCCATCACACACCTAGCTCTATATTGAGGTTTAACCCAGCCCCTTTTGTCCTCAAAACTCCCTCTAGAAAGCCAAGTTTCCTGGCCTCGTTTTATAGCGTTGGAAACTAAAACTCCAAAAGCCGTTAAATCGTACAGCTCAGAAAGAGTGGAGCTAAGATTTGAACTCAAGACTATGTAATTCCTTCCACCATACTAAACCCACCACCCACTGTGAAAAAGAGGGACAAAAGTAGAAGATAAATTTCTGCAGACACCAAGTTCTAGGAGACATCTACCACTGTTGCAGACTGGCCCAGAAGCAAAGAAGCAAAGTGCAGAGAGGCTCAGATGGGCTCCCTAGAGAGTGGCCAAGCCCCATCCCCTCCCCTCCCCACCCTCCCCAGGGCTTGCCTGTGTCCAGCCCACTGACCATTGCAGGTCTTGCCGTCACTGTTCAGGGTGAAGCCCTCCCGACAAGCACAGGTGTAGGAGCCTGGGGAGCTGAGGCACACCTGCTCACAGTCGTGGTCTCCTGTGGCACACAGGTCTGACACCACTGTGGGGACAAGAGGAGACTCAGAATCTAACGGTCACAGGGCCTTGGACATCTCAGCCAGGGTAGCCCTTCACACACTCAGGGAAACAGACCACCCACTGGCTGAGGTCTGAGCCCCACACTCTCAGCCCCGGGCGGGAATCACAGGCCTGCCCCATGCTGACTCTCTCAGCCCCGCCTCCCGCCCTATTC